GCCATAACTATTAAGAACGATCAATTATTTGCTATTATGGAAAACAGTATCAAATGCTTTAGCCAAATCTGGGTACACAACTGACTCTGTTTTTCCTTTGTCAGTTGATGCTGACCAATCGGAAAGATTTGCCAATATTTGTCAAAGTAGATTTTTTTGTACAAAAGCCATGCTGATAAGGGGATATGAAATTATTGGCATCAAGATAAGTAACCAATTTATTAACAAATCAACCTTTCGAGTATCTTGTTACCAACGCATGTTAGGGTAATAGGTCTAATTAGAAGGGTGCTTCCTTTTTTATGAATGGGAATTATATGAGACAACTTAAAAATTTTGGGATTAAAGCCAGATTTATAATATCCTTATAAATTAGAAATAGGAGAGGATCCAGAGAGTCTGCGCGTTTTTTATAACTTATTTGTGGAATATTATCGGGATCAGCTGAAATGGTCAGCTTAAGTTTATTTAAGGCATCATTAATATCGAGTAGTGTTATCTTAACCTCACAGAGAGAAGTGCAACAAATTCGATTTACATTAAAACAACAAGAGTATGAGTATTATCCTCATCAGCAAGTGCACTAGGAAAATATTGATTAAATATATTTGCAATATCAATATGAGAGGTGATCACATTATGTTGCAGAATTAATCGCTTACGTGGATTTGAAAATTTTCTTTTGATGTAGGTCCAGAAAGAATTTCTATTAATATTTAAAAGGTGAAGTTGCTTAATTCGAAAAATAATCATGAATGGCACCACGGAAACTTCTTACACATTCTTTATATGCAGAGAGGTCACATGGAAATTTGGTTAATTTGTATTTATTATAAGGCTTCTTCACATTTTTTTTAAAGAGATTTAAAAAAAATGGGAATCGACTCAAGGCTTTTTTTTCTTAGAGGGATATATTGCTCTATAAGGCATAAAATGATGCTATTAAGAAAATTAACTTTTTCATCAGTAAAGGGAGAATAGAAAGAATAGGGAGAATTAAACAGAATAAGAAATCCTTGTTTATTTCTGCGAGGATAGAATTAAAGATTTTATAATTACAGTAATACAAAATAATAATATTATCGTTAATCATAATAATATTAAAACACATTTTCTTACTACGAATTGAGAGGAGCAAGATAGTTATCAAGGAAAGTTATCTTTTGCTTATTATAAAATCTAAGTGATACTGGAGATAATTCCATTCCTATGTGATTCGCTGGCATCGTATTAACTGCTAGAGGAACAATCTTAATCAGAAATGGTGTCAAAAATCCGGGTGGTTACTAGGGACCCAACTAAGGTATTTCTGTCCCTAAGTAATTCTGTGGTGAAAGGGTCAGATCTCTTTGAGGCGTCGTCGTCCGCGTCTTCTGACGCGCATGATACTTCTGGCCGTGCGATAAATATACGATCCGCTCGTAATAATTATAATAAAATATTCTCGAGACACAATTTGCTCGCGAACTGAGATAATTACTCAAAATCCGCCAAGAGATGCGAAAATCTATCCGCTAATACATTGTAAGCGCGGCGAGGTGCTGGCTATAGCTGTTTGGAACGTCAGAACACTAATGGATGTTGCAAACCAAGCAATCACTGTCCCCATCATTTTAAATTTCGGCGTGGATGTAGCTTGCTTGTCGGAGGTCCGTCTTCCTCATGTCAGCCCTCGAATAATTATTAAATCTGGTTACAACCAAAGATATTGGCTTTATCACTGTGGTGCCTCGAACAACTCGCGGCGAATTGTCCGCTCAGTAAATGACCGTATGGCCTACGCGCGTTTTATTTTGGTCATCCAGCTTTATCCGCGATAAGGTCAAGTTCTATGCGGAGCTTCAACTATTAACAACATTTCTACCGAGATGTGGCATGGTCATAATTAAGGAAGACTGGAATGCGCTCGTAAATCATGATGCCGTTATGATTAATTGATAAATATAATATCGGGGTTCAGCGCGCAAATGAAGAACGCGTTCTACAGAAGTGCATGGACTCTTTATTACTAATACATGCTTTCGGCATTCGGCAAAACATCTAGCCACTTTCTGAAACTTTCTTTCTGATAATAACCAATCTTCTAATCAGATTGACTATATATTGGTCAGTTATCGCTGGAAGAGTTCTGTATTTGATAGTCTTCTTATCGACGTACTGAAACTAGTAATCGCCATGAATCAGACTATATTATGGTTCGAGCCAAGATTCGTATAAAAGTAACAAATCGTAAGATTCCAAGATCTTTCAACCATCTAATTCAAATTAAAAGATCCGAAAACAGTAAGAGCATTTCAAACTATTATTATTGAAACAGTGAAATGAAAATCAATGACATCTCTGCAACGGCGAATGAATACTGGTCCAAACTAAAGACATGATTATAAAAGTCAGCTACAGCTACCTCCACATTAGAGTATACTAGTAGAAAGTGCGCTAGTTGGGTATCGGAAGTAATTGTCCAGATGTCTGGAGCTGCCAAAGCCCGAATCATGAGATTCTGATTATTATTGATGCTTCGAAAAGTTAACAACGACAGCAGTGTGAGATAGAAATCGCTACTGGAGCGATATGGCCTTGAGAATGGAGGCGGCGGCTGGAATAGGTAATGATAATAGGAAACTGTTTCGCCTTCTTCACAAAGTAATTATGACTCGAAAAAGGATAAGCGAAATAATACGTGCTATTATTAATAGGGCGCCTATTAAGGATATTAAGGATCACCTCATAAGATGGAAAGAATTTTTTGAGGCCAAACTTAACCACGAAGTGCCATCTGTTATTCCGGAAGAATTGATTCGCCCGTCGAACCTTACGTTTGCAATTGTGAACCAATAGAAGAGGAAATAATTTCTATAATCCATAAACTTAAGACTAATAAAAATAGTATAGACGGGCTGAACTCCTCAAATGTTGTCCGTCATCGTTCATAACTCACGTTCAACAAATGTATGCTCTGGTATGGCAAAAGGAAATAATAATACTAGAAGACTGAAGAAAAACAATTCTACTTCCAATTCCTAAGAAAAGTGATAGGACGTATTGCGACAATTACCGAGGAATCAGCCTGCTAGACATCTCCGAATTTTCGCTTACCTTCTGCTAAACAGACTCATAGCAATACGAGATAGCAGAATGCGTCCCTACCTAGCTGGATTCAGACCGGGACGCGGTTGCGCTGACCAGATATTAATGCTAAGAAGGGTGCTGGAACATCGTTTCAAACTTGCTTTATCGATTTTGGAGCTTCCTTCGATTCGATTGATAGTGCTCTGGAAAATGATGGAATGTGACGGTATCCCAGAAAAGATTATTCAACTCATAAAGCGATATCGGAACATGTATATGAGGTATAGGTCTATGTATATGTGGAATTGACAGACTCCTTCGAAATAAGAACTGGTGTTCAGGACTGCGTCTTTTCCTCAACAGTATTCAATTATTCGATAAACTGGATAATGGGTATCGCTTGTCGCCACTCAAAGGGTCTGCAAATCAGTCCAGAGCATAAGATCACAGGCCTTGTATACTCTGATGATGTTGTCCTTTTTAGTGACAGTTATAAAGAAATACAAATAATTAAACAGTGCATCAACAAATGCAGCGAGAATTGGATTGGACTCAAAATCAATGTAAATAAAACTTCTTTTCGTCTTATATACAAGATGTCTAATGAACTAATAAAATACCTATTTGTATCAATTCATTGCCTGAAAGAGTCGAATTTTAAGTGTCTTGGGTCCACTCTATTCCAAATGGGCAGGCAAGGAAAGAAATTAGAAATTAATGTTTTCTAGAAATATGATTGTTGAAACCTCTATGGAACCGTTGCGAAATCACCATGAACATGAAAATCGGCGTCCATATAGCTGCAATTTGCTCGATCTTGCTATTTGGCTGCGAAACATGACCAATGAGAGTGGAAAATATTAAGAAGCTATTAGTCTTTGACCACTTATATCTAACGTATAACGGATCCGCCGAGCAGATAAAATCGCACATGATTATATTCACTTTCGCTCAAATACCACCCTGTATTAATAATGTTACAGAGCATCGCCTTCGCTGCTTATGGCACGTTCTCTGTTGTCCACCACTAGAGTCCCACATTTCGTTACTTGCTAAACCGTGTGATGAATGGCATCAAAAGCGAGGTGACCCAATCAAAACCTGGACTGATACAGTCAGGAAAGATTTTGAACGTATAGGTGGACCAGGAATATACGGACTTAGACGATGGAAAAAGGAATGGTTTCTATTATTATTAACGATGGAGTCGGTCTGAGCAGCCCTTTTAGCCAGCGGAGCCAGCTTAGTTAATAATGGTGAGATCTGTTAGAAGAAAAAAAAATGGTAATTACATTAATTACATCACTGTCATGACTTTAAGCACCAAAGTGGTAATTAAGTTTAGGAACAAGCCATATAAAACAAACATTTATTTTTCTTGATATTTTTTCTTATATTTTTTATTAATGCAAAAATTTATTAATTTAATTATTCAAAAAATTTAAGTTTTTATGTGTATTTTTAGTAAAAAAAATAATTAATTCTGACCAATTTGTGATTTCGGTTTCAGTTTCTGGCTAATAGAGTCACAGTTAAAACTATGTTGGGCATCTATAGATAAGCCATCTTCAACGAAATATTGCAAATTGATAGGCATGAGACAATATTCGTTGACCAAAATTATTGTTCCTCAGCATGAAAGTCTTCAAGTATGTTCTATATATTCAATATTTTTGTAATATAGCGGGACTGAATGATAAGGGTTAAACGATTTTTTATAAAGGGATCAACCATGAGATCAATTTTAAAAGACGACTATAATATTTTTGTTTATAACATTAGTTATAAGTAAAACACACGCAAAGCTGGTGAATCACCTGTAATTGTGTTGGCAAGTGATTCCCTAGCAATATTTGCATAGTAGACAAGCCAATGGAGCGAGCGTAACCTGAATGGTGAGTGCTCTTAAAAAATAAATGAATAAAATATACCAAAATTTTCATTATGTTTCGTATGATGCCTTAGTATCAATAATTGCGAATTGTTCGCGATGAAAACCGAGGTCTTTTAAGTACTGCTGTACAAGCGGTTAATACGACTGGAAATTTTTGCCAGGACTTACTTGAGACAAACATCACAGATTTCACGGATTTCTAAACGATGAGTTTCATCTTGGCGGAAGCAGGTGTAAACCTTGGAGGTGATAATCTGGCTAACAATCCTTCGAATGTAAACCACCATATATTTAATTTCTTCCAAATTTTCATATTTTCACTTTATATTATTATTATATTATTTTCTTTCTTACTTTATATTATTTTCTTGGAAATTCATGCTTCAAAAAATTTTGCATTATGAAAACATTACAGCTTTCTCTACAACCATTAAATCGTAATTTTCGAACAAATGTGCGAGTGATCATACAAGAAATAATTGTTAGAACCGATGAATGTAACAATAGACCGTTATCAAAAAATAGCACTTTTACAAAAGCAATATTAAGTGAACCCAGGTTTAAAAATATTACGGCGAAAAAAACAAATTCTACATTGATTGAGCAGAATACAAAGGCTTTTTCTGATATTACGAATGAAAATAAGCAGCCTGCATCAGGTAAGGGAATGGCATTATTTTTAGTTTGAAAGTCAATTCATCTTAGATCAATTCATCCAGGAATTCAAAAATCTATCGATAATATATTTTTGTGAATTTTCTTTGATTGTATCTTGAGGTAAGGTGAAATATTAGAAATCAACTGTAATTTGGAGCCTCTTTATTCGAGTATTATAATAAAAAAAGTAATTGGTGTGAGTTAACAAGTAAATTTGACATCTCTCATTAATTAACATTGTTTTCAGTTTTGGAAGATATTTTTGGTCGAGATTTTGCCAGTTTTTTACAAGCAGATTCTGATTATTCAGTGGATATTGAATCTGAGACAACTAAAGGAAATAATCTAAATATTTTTACAAAATCATTTTTAGTAGGGTAATTTTTTGATAAGATTGCAAGAAAATTACAAGAAGCCAAAAATAGCCAAAGCCGCTCTTCTTTAATCATTCTGTCATTGTTAAATGTAATTATTTCAGGGTGATAACTTTATGACATAATTTTTTGTTATTCTTAAAGGGAAAGTAGAATAATTGAAAAAACAGATGCCACACTGTTTACTGGGACTCCACCTGAAACATTTGAACAATATACATTGCCAGTACCAACTCAAATTTCTCTTGTTGACGCAGTAAATCCACTCTTTTGTAATACTGCCGGTGGATGTCTTTTTGATAGATCACTTTGTTCGTATCGCAATTCTCAACTCTCAAATGGAGCAAAATTCAGAAGGATAGAAAGTATTTTCTTAATAAACTACAGTCTACTTACTTTTATTATACTTTTATTATCATTTAAGTTAATTGTATGCTCTCACCATTTCTGGTTTGGCCACCTGCGCTGATTCTAATGAGAAATTTTTGCCAGAAAATCGCTAAAGATAAAAATATAGGCATATTCGGATTTTTCATAATAATAATAATAATATTAATAATAATGTCTCTAATGCTTGCTCTAATGCTCGACGATATTCATTCTTTATTGCCGTATTAAACTAACAGAGACGAAAATTGGAGAAAAAAAGAATCAAAAATCTTTTATAAAGAAACGATAAGTCACCAATTCAATTTAAAAAAAGAGTTAAAAGATTATATATTAATATATAACTGGAAATATTTCACACATTCTTTATATTCTGGCGACGTTTTCAAGCTGTTCGATCTGATGTACTAGCTGAGAGAATAGAAACTTTTCTTTTTTCCTTCGTCGAACTCAACAGGTCCACCTGAGGAATCTCTCATTTAGCCTTGGTCTGTGTCATATGTCAGATCCCTGTAGATGATGCCAGCTTGGTTATGCTTTTCAGTGTACGTTGTTCCTGCTTGATTTTGTATTCTACTACTATGTGTTGGATTGTTTCTAGAATGTTTTTGGATTATTTCTGCACTTGTCTATGTGGTAGTTCATCATTGTTTCGATAGATTTGGTGCTCCTGTGCTATTATCCTGTGTTGCCTTTTAGTCAGGCTTTCTCGACCACTAGTAGGGTTTCAAAGTGTCAGCTATCTGCGATGGTGAAATCCATGGAGGACCTTGCTTTGATATGGCATTTCCTTTCCTTAATTGTTTTCCAGTGTTTGTTTGTACATGTTTCAGATAGTCTTTCAGCGCCATCTTGCTGATAAATTTCTGAATACTTCACTCAAGACAGTGATTTTCATATCTACCAACTTGCCTTCTTTCCAGCTGGTGTACAGTCTTTGGGTATTGGATTTGATATCAACAGCCTCCATGCCTTCCCTTATCCATCTTATAGTGCCAGCTGCGTACCTAATGATTTACAGGGTGTACATATTTATGGCATGGATTTTATTCCTCCCATTGAACTGCCTCTTTAAGATTTGCTTAGTCCTACTCAAATCTTGTTGCAGTTTTCCTTGCCTCCTCATCGTCGTTACCATGTGACTGTTGGTGACTATTGGATACCAAAGTAATTATAGTTCGCCTATATGCATGTTATTTGTCCTGATAGTGGGTCTATCCCATCAGTCATTACTACTTTTCCTCTCTTTACATCCATTTGGCCACATTTGTTTAATCCGAATCACATTACAATGTTCTCGTTGTAGACCGAAATTAGATGGATGAACGAGTTAACCCTCGTTCACTTTTTTGTATTTAACCTAATGTTATTCATGTTGAGAAGATGGCGATCTTGCTCTTTTGTATCCATATCCGCTTTTGATGATTATCTGACAGAGGATTTAGACCTATGCAGAACAGTAGAGGAGGCAATTCATCCTTAGGCCGCACTAGATAGTTACTTGTGGAAGTTATTTTGAGTTGATTTCAAATACCATTTTCCACAGCTCCACTAAGAATTCTAAGTGAACGTCTTTACTTTGTATAGAGCCGAACATTTTACAGATCCATGTGTGGGGCATTGTCATAGGCTTTCCTATAGTTAGTCCAAGCTGTGCACAAACTGATCTACTGGGATTTTGAATTTAGAGCTTCATCCACTAGTGTTTGGAGCTTCTGATCATGTTCCCATTGTCTTTTTGAATTATATTAACTGTACTAGTTCAGATGGTCATGAAGTTTAATGGCTATGATACCTGAAATTCCATATAATACAGATTATTAGTCACTAGTTGTTGTTCCTTTATGAGAGTCTTTCGTAATCAACACCGCCCTTCCTCGTGTTAACCAGTTTGAACAAGAGCCTACCACAGGAAGCTGATTCATCTATATCGGGCGCTCATGAAATGCTATTAGCTTCCTTAGCCAGTAGATGTGAATCATGCCCAGACCAGGTACTCTCAAACTTTTTATATTTTTTGAGTCGCTTATTGGATGTCATTAACTATGATGGAAACTGGCTCCTGCTCTGGAAGATTGCTGTGATTTGATCTCAGATCTTGTAGCCATTTTGCACTAACGTTATAAATCTTTTTTTACCGTATATTCTTCTAGTATTGAATAGTTTCTTCTATATTGAATAGTGAATAGTAGTAATAGTTTCTATTGTTACCATATTATTGCACTGAAATTGAAAATACGCCTTGGATGGTTCCTCTGAGAACAGGGTATTTCTTTTTGACCTCTATTCCTCTAGTGTACATAGTAAATTTCCTTAGCCTAGTAGACATGCTGTGAACTTTTGTTTAACGATCTCGAGGCTTCTGATGAGCTATAGCCCATGTATTTTACTGGATGTTTTTGTTCCCCACACCTTTTTGTAATTCTATCAGATGGGCAACTTCTTCGAATTATGCTTTTGAGAATTGCATTGGCTGTGATATGTACACCAATTCATTAGATTCTATATACTGGCAGTAGGCAATTGTTGTGAGGGTTCTATTTGCATCTTCGATGATATTATCTGGCAGTACTTCACTGAGTCTCGATAGTCGATCTCGATGGTCAATTACAGCCATCAATTAAATTGTTATAAATATATATATATATATATAACCATTACTGGTTAAACTCGCTCCACTGCCTTGTTGCATTGAGCAATATGCCATGCAGCAGTCCCTTGGCGATAGAACTACGGGTGAGTCGCCAGCATCACTCGAATTTTTTTACAGGTTTACTCCTGCGGAGAATCGAACAGCTTCGGCTGCTCCAAATTGAGCACCAACCCACTGATATATATATTATAAATTAATAAATATAAATAAAACAAATATAGTATTAAATACAACAAATTTATTATAAATGAATTAATTAATATTGCATTACAGTCACATTAATGCAGTTATATAATAATATAATACATAAAACTTAAAGAGTAATAATAATATAAAGTAATAATATTAATAAAACTTTATTTAATAAACAATTGGCATGTGGAAAACGAGCCGTATGTTCGCCTAAGGCTAAGAGTATAATCATGTTTACCTTAGATAAGAATAAAACAGCCTATTAGTAATTCGATTGCTAGATGCATTTTTCCAATCTTTATCTGATTTTCTAGATACCATTGAAACCAATAGAGTCAGAAATGATGCTAAAAGGAGAAATTATACTTTTTTTGAGGGAGATTTTTTTAGTTATTATTTTAAACGTAAGCATAAGCGAAATCAATTGATATTGCTTAGATCGATGTTAGTTTGCATACGAATATCGACGAAATTATACATATCTATGTATATCTATTTAATATAAACTTTGTGTAAAATGGAAATTAATGGTATTTTTTTTATTTTTTCTTCATAATTTTCTTACCCAGTTTCTTAATTCTTTTGCAACTTGCTATGGAGGAGTAAAATTTCAATAAATTTTAGTTGAAGGACGATATTTCTTGCAAGCTTTTGTTCGTCCTGGCAACTTAGCAGTATTGGAAGCAAATACTCATATGTCAGAAAGTCATCGAATCATCTTCGATGCGTTAGAATATGAAGAAGGTCAAAAACTTTCAGGATGTTGCAATGTACCAAGACAACAGCCACTAGGTGGTAATACAATATTTGCAAGTTTTTTATAACATTTGCGACCTTTTACAATGCAAAAATAATTGAAATGGCTAAAGCACAAGAGTAGAGTGATCAAGTATTATGTTTCTTCAACTGGGGAGTCAATTTGCTATTAAAACTAAACTTCGTATGTGCTGGAAACCTACTTGCATTCTTATTGTCAAATACTGTCTAGTCTCATCCTATAAATTTTTGGAGGCAGCCAAACCAGAAAAAAAGAAAAAAAAGTGAAAAATAGATATGGAATAGTGGCACTCTTTATTTAGACTCGCTCCATTGGCTACTAATAGCTGACTGTTAATATGGTGAGGTATATGTGCCAGAAAATTTAGATGAAGACAGAAATATAGATGGTTTCCAAGCACTATTCGGATTTTCTAAGACTACTTCTCTCATAGGTCGAGTCCAAATCTTTATACTAGATTTGAGGATAATTTAAGCAATAACCACAAGCTTATTAAATGTGGTTAGTGGTTAATGCTTTTAAGTCGCTGTTATCGTATTTATGGTAGAAACAGCTAAAATATTATTAAATTTAGGATTAATCTGTCCATTTTCGACTAATATGGAAAAAACTTCAGCCGAATGGTTTTCAGCAAATTTTGTTTGTCCAGCTGGTACAACTAAGGTCCAAGATTTTCATTCGCATTTCGTTCATTTGCATTGCCAAATTTTTCATCTAAACTTTTTCATTTTCATTTTTATTTTAATTTCTTTTCAATTTATTCTAAATTTATAGAATTTCTTTTTCTACCAGCTCTCACCACTAGTAGTTGGGCTGGTTCAACTGGTTACAAGGGTCCCACGCTATTGCTGAAAAGAAATGGAAGCCATTGCTCTTTTTGCTTTTTCCAACGTTTAAGTCCATATGTAGCTGGACCTGCCATATCAGAATCTTTTCTAACTATATCAGTCCAGGTCTTGATTGGACCACTTCGTTTTTGATGCTATCAGTTTCAACTCCTATGGTAAGCGAAGAAGAATATGCTTAAACCAACGAAGATGGCGTTTTGTGATGGTACTGTTAATGCAAGTGGTATTTGAGCGAAGTTGGTGCGATCATACAAGATATTATCAACTCGGCGAACCCATAAAATGTACCTTAGACATGAGTGGTCAAAAGTAGATAGCTTCTTAATATCGTCCACTTTCACTGGCCAGATCTTGCAAGATAAAACGAACTGCGACTACATAGACTTGGGCGTTCGTTTTTAAAATGATTTCGCGACGAGTCCATAAATATTTCATCAACCCGAAAGAATGCATTTCTAGCCATTATCCAGGTAATTTCCTCTTTCGCTTGGCCATTTGGGATTAGAGATATTTGAAGTATAACAACTCCTCAACCAGCAAAGAATTGTTTTATCAGCTTCTTGTAAATAAGACGAAAAACCTTTTTTTATTTGTATTGATCCTGAGTCCAATTTTCACTGCTCGACATATTGTTTAGTACTGTATGCGTTTCATAAGCAAAAAGGATCATCAAGATATATAAGCGTATTCAAGATGTGATACTTTGCTCTGGATTGATTTGTACATTTCTTGAGTGCCAACAAGCGTTGTCCATTACCTAATCTATTGTTGAATATTGTAGGGGAAATGACGAAGCCTGGACGAACACCAATTTTTATTTCAAAAGGATGTATCAGTTCTCTATATACACAGATTTGTCAGATCTGTGCCGATGTATGCCTTTATGAAGCGAATGATCTTCTCTGGAACTCAGATTCCATCACCCTCCAAAGCGCTGCTCAATCAATTGAATCGAAGGCAGTAAAATCGATAAAAATCATGTGACGATGAATATTAGAGCGTTGTTCCAGCACTCTTCTTAACATGAATATCTGGTCAAAATCCCAATCTGAATCCAGTTTGGTTAGGATGTATATCTTGCTGCCTCATATTGCCATAAGTCTATTCAATGAGAGGGAAGCAAAAATTTTCCCAGAGATGTCTATGGGATGGATTCCTCGATAATCGTCACGGGTATGTCCTATTACCTTTCTTAGGGATAGAACTGCTCTGCTTCGATCATCGGATCGTTATTTCTTCCATACATTGGTTAAAAGTATATATAATATGAAGGGCGATGGACAACACTTGAAGAGTTCAGCCGGAAGATCTTCTTCTCTATGGTATGGAAGATGTTGGCCTTAAATTTCCGGATGGTAGGGATTTTTTCTATTCATTTTTCTATTCTGCTGGCATTGCAAACGTATGGTTCACGAATGAATCAACTATTTCCGGGGCAAAAAATGGCGCATTATAATTAGGTTTGGCCTCAAAGAATTTCTTCCATCTTATAAGGTGATTCTTTATTTTTTTAACAGCTACTTTTGTCCCTTACCATTTTAGATCGTTCACCGAGTTATAGTCGCTTTGTGGATTAGTTTCCTATTATCGCCTAATCGAGCTACCATCTCTATTTTCAAGGTAGTGTTGCTCCAGTAGTGATTTCTGTCCTACCATGTTGCAATTCTTCGGAGCATCTGGTAATTAGGATTTCCTGATATTTGCATTTTGGCAACGTTTTCAGATAGCTGGACAGTTGTTTCCGACAACAAATTACTGCATTTCTTACTAGAATATCCTACTAGTGTGGAAGTGGCTGATTTTCCGGAACATTCCTATAATTGAGACCAGTATTCATCTGTCGTTCCAGAGATGTCATTGATGTTCATTTCACTGAGGTGCTTCGGTTTGAAATGCACTCATTATCCCCGAATCTTTTAGTTTGAAATAAGTCATCTTGGGATCGGATTAATTCCCTGAAAGTAAATCTTGCTATTAAATGTGAAATGCTGGATACGAATTTCTATCCTCGCACTTTCTAAAAATTGATCTCATCCCAGTAGTCCGTGAGAACAAGAAGAAAATCTTATAATGCCAGTGCATCGTAGAATCCCCGTTCGTTTTGCCTCATCACACTAATATTTTAACCGATAAATTAAGGCGCTTGCAAATTTTTTAAATAAAATTAATTTCAGTTAGTGTTTATTTGTGAAAATAATGGAGAGTTAAATGGGATATGTTCATTGGATAATATACGACTTCATAAAATAACTGATATTTTTTTCATCGAACCGTGCCAAAAGAAAATTCTCAGTTCGATCTGAGAATTGATCTCGAGCTATGCAAATTTGATTTTTCGATAGCCATTGCCGATCCATTTAATCGGATTTCATATTTATTTAATCCGTCTGAAGTTTAATCGTTGGATACGCCACCACTCTCATCGCCAATCTAGAAAAATAATTTTAAAATAGATTTTTCGGTTCATTTTGTTCACTGCTAATGATAAGTCGATATTACCAGTTCCGTAATGGATAAATAAAGAGTTTATTTTATTTGGCCACAAAAATCTGCACCACAAAAGTTCTAATAAATTCGATGCCGGCAGTCTGCTCACCAACTATTAAGAATATTATATTTAAGCTACATTCACCTGGAATGTACCTACTGGTTTCAACGACAACCAATTAAGTCCGCGAGAAATTGATAATTATATAAATCCCAGTGACTTTGAATAAATATTGCGCTACAGGACATTTATCTAGTCTTAAAACGATAAATTTAGCGCCAGATTGGTCGTGGATTTTTGAATTTCCTTTGATTTTTAGTAGCGCGATAGTGAAAGAAGGAAGGAGAGGGGTTGTATGTTACGCTGGTTCGTCACACTGCTACTGTTAAACAGTTGATGACTGGCGAAAATTGCGGCAAATTTAATTCTTTGAAAATAATTTTGAGTTATCCAGTATGATTGTTAGTGAACAAGGAAGTAACGAGACGACTCGGGGAGGATGAAACGTCGAGGCGTAGCGCAATCGTCGGGCGCTGGAGGCCCTTCTAGGCTTAAATTATTTTTAATAGGCGAGGAGAGGGAAGCAAATGTAATGACCATAACTGCTGAAAATTATTTTGTGCTTTTTTTCTGCGTTTCCCACTGTCCCGTCGATTTATACTCTTTCTTCTTTATGTACAGAATTATCGATTTGTTTTTTCTTATTTCCTACGATTTTGCCTTTATAAAATGCCTTATATCAGTTATTTCATTAATTCATTTATTTGTTCTTTAACTTCTTTTCGTTCATTAATTTCTTTGATCGAGAACGAGTTATTGTTGCAGGATTCGGATACTTTTTGGTAGTTTGATCCTCGAAATAACATAAGTAAGCGGTCGGGTGTTTCCTTTTGTTTCCACTTCTCTCCTTTCTCTCCGTTATTTCGCTTTCTTTGCATCTTCATTATACTATTTGCGGTAGCTGAGAAGTGCTCAGATGACCTTCTTTATCACATTACTGGTGCTGTAGAAGGTCGAAATTCTCTGACTTCATTAGTTAATTATCTCATGATCAGTTATTTATTTTAGCTCAGTTTATGCCATCTATAATTTCTTTTCCTTCAGCAATAAATTAAACGATGTCCTCTGCAGTAAATGTTGTTAGCGTTGTATTTCACGATAACCCAGCAGCGTTCTGTGATGGTTTTAAATTAGAAGTTACGTTTGAATCAGAAGCCCTTCAGGAAGGTTGTATTTTTTCCACTTTGTCCTCTTTTTTTTTAATTTTTGAATTTTATATCATTTTTTGAATTATATGCGATTTAAAAATTTCTTCAATGAATATACCACCAATATTTCAAATTCATCAGAAGTTTATAAGTTTAATGTTTTATTTATTTATTTGGCTTTATTTTTAAATTTATTTTTTTATTTTTTATTGACGAAGTTTTCTGTTTTTTTAAATGCGCTTCCATTTTAAATCTAATAAATTTTTAAATTAATAAATCAACTTCAGCTTCAACTTAATCAACTCACTCTACTTGAATCAACTTAATTTATAATTATAATTTATAATTTTAATTCTTAATTTATATTTTTTTATAATCCATTTTTTTTTACAGATTTAGAATGGGAATTAGTTTATGTTGGATCTGCGGAATCAACAAAATATGATCAGGTACTCGACTCGATTGTCGTTGGACCTGTTGTTGAAGGTCGTCATAAATTCATGTTGGAGGTGAAGTAAATATTTGTTTATCTATTTTTAAATTTTACCGCAATTTTTCTTTTATTCGATTTTTTATGAATTCGGAATAAATAAATATTTTTATTTTATTTATTTATTTTATTTTCTCTTCTTGTTGTATTTTATTATTGATTCATTATCTTCAGACAAATGGTCCTGATCCATCAAAAATACCCATGTCGGATATAGTTGGAGCAACTGCTTTATTACTGAAAGGAAGTTATAGGGAAACAGAATTTATAAATATTGGTTGGTTTGTCGCCTGTGAGTATATTGATCCAGAGCTCAAGGAAGAACCACCTGCTACTCCTATTGTTGAAAAAGTTTGCCTCACTTAATTTTTTCATGATTTGAGGACTTTAAATTAAAGATTATTGCATCAGTTTTAAGAATTAATAATTTAAAATTTTATAATATTTGAATGTTTTATGGGATTTGAACTTTTTAAATGTCTATTTAATCTCTAGCATTTTCCAGTTGCAACGGAGAGTCTGCACTGAAGATATTCGTGTAACCACTTATGCAATAAAATGGGATGATCAGAATCAACTGACAGGTGATGAAATTGAAGAGGATACAGATGTGGTCGAATTTAAGGGTCTGGATGTTAATGATGAAACCATTGATTTTGACAATCTTGATGATGATACTGACGATATAATGGCTGAATTGGATAAAGATGACGAAGAAGAAAGTGGCAGTGAATCAGAGCAACTCGCATCAGGTTTAAATTTTATAAAATCGAACAAATACTAATTTGCTGTTATTTGCTAATTTCATTTATTATTATGTTTATTGGCTTTATTTTTTTCTCTTTTATGAGTTATTTGGATATAATAGTTAGTAAATGAATGGAACGGTGCATTGTATTGCATCAAATGATTTCAAGAAATTTTCGTAAAAAACAAAATAATTTCAAGTTTTATTTGTTTAATTGTGCATCTTGTTTTATACGATTTAGATGAAGAAGAAACGAATTTTTTTGTCGACCAAGAGGTTTCTGCACAAGGTTCAATCGAACAAACAGTCGTCGTATTCAAAGGTAGTGATGAAGTCCCAAAGAAGTCAGCTAACCTCGCTAGTATTTCTCAGGTTCATTCTCCCGATTCTGCTGATAATCGTGAAAGTTCCAATTATTTATCCAACTTTTGTGACGAAATTCAAATTTCTTCCTATCTTTAAATATGCATATAGAACGTATCTGTTAATTATTACGGGAATTTGTTTTATTCTGAATATTTTCTGGAAAAGTGCGAAATGCAAAAATGGTTTTCTGAAAAGTGATTTTCAGATGGAAATTAACCTTTCTTCTTATAGTAACATATTATTATTTATATTATTTTTCTCAAATTAAATTTGTCGATTTATTAAATTTTATTTAATTGGACAAGATATTTTTATCCTTTTGCATAAAGAATATTACGAATGGTGTGGCATCGTAAGTGGTAGAAGTGATCATTTTTAGATTTTTGATCTGGTATACTTTTCTTTCTTAGATGATTTTTTTTTCCTTATTAAATATAGTTTTTTCGTTCAGTTCTTATTTGGGCAGTTGCACAATTAGTTTATCATAATTTTTGTTTATTCCTGGGTTTTTGAATTCTATATCAAAAATTTTTAAAGGAAATTATTGCACTTTAAGACCTTAAGGAAGTAAGGGATATCCAAAAATTCTTGTCTCTTTGATCTTGTCTCTTTGTATTCTCAGGAGTGTTAATCGATTGCAGGAGAATCTGATTTAATTTTTACGGTACTTTTATACTTCAAAATTATTTTGCGTAATTTACTCTTAGATTTTTTTGTCAACCGGTTAAAAATTCGATATTTACTTCCTATTTATATTATAATGTTATGTATATTTGCGTTTATGTCGCTTGTTCTTTGTTCTTTCTAGCGAGAATTTTAAAATAAATATTTCGGAAATATCGATGTTGATACATGCAGTTTTTTTATTAAGAATAAGCATCGTATAAATATATTAAAAGCTTTGGCTAAAATCAATTTACGAATTTATGGCCAATAAATCATTTGTTCTAAATTGTTAAATTGTTACTTAGTAGTTGAATCTTTTTTCTTTTATTTTGAAATTCTTTATATTGACAAGCATCCAGCATCAACGAAGTAACTTTTTCAAGGAGGAATATCAGTAAGTTTCTAATGGCATTTCTGGTACGGTTGACTTCACTGAACGTTGTTAATAGATAGATATAATAGGGAGTAGACTTGTAAGTCCCTAACACCATCTTAATCTTTAATAATGGATTATTCTTAATAAGAAGTAGAGATTGCACACATGAAGCAACTCAACCAGCAGCTATAATCGTCATAAGTTGGATTGGTTTTTATCACCATATTTTATCTAAAAGGTCAACGATTTATATGATATCTTGCATCGATTAAGATTTATTGCGTTGACAAGACAAATCAACACTACGTTCGAGGCATTATCCAACTTGTTATAAATTTTCTAAGAAAGACTTCTAAGAAAATTTTCTGAAAAACATCTAATAATTAATTTTATGAAAAATCTTTCAAATGATAAAGAGTAAATTGCATTCTGGAAAATACGAAAGAAATTTAAGCGCCAATAAAAATTTGGATAGGCTGATTGTTACTTAGATTATTGTCGTGAACGAAAGTTTGTTTTGGATCGTTCGTCAAGAATAAAATCAAAAAGCCCGCGTGCATAGGTAGCCGACTATCCCTATCCCTTTGCATGCAAACTCCGTAGCAGAAAGTAAACTTAGCAATAGAATTAAAAATTTTGCGGGGTTTTAATCATCTTTTTGTTTTGAACATATCCAAACCATTCTTTGTAATGGAAATAGCTTTATTTAATTCCGAATTCTATGTTCTTCCATATTTCTCAAATATGGCTTCCGAGATTTCTATAAGATTTTCATTATCAATATGGAGAATTATTTCGAGAAGCTTTACCTCGAATTGGGTGCTATTGCTATTTTATATCACTTTAATAATTGCAAATAAAATTTAATGAAAAAGGAAGTTTGATCTTTGAACTCTGGAACTGGTACGAATTTATCCCCAAATGAATTCTTATTCCTTCTAATTTTCCCTGGAATTTCGCAGGGACTTTATAATTTAAGGATATTTCTCTAAATGCTCAATCCACATAAGTTATTTTCCAATTCAATAGGTTTTTTATCGCTTCTTTTCCGAAATACATTAAAATTGCATACTGGCGAAAGATGACTGACAATTGACCAGTGGATTTATTTATCTCTCTGAGCAATAGCAGCTTTGATGGACCATTAAGAAATTTTCTTTTGGCTCTAATACGATAAGAAGACAGAAAAGGCATTCTCGGCAAGAAGTGTCGAGAACTGGCGGGGTTTTCCCTGTGGGCGGGTTCTTTCTTGTGGCAGAAATAATTGCAATGCGAGTTTTCCAGAACCGCTTTACCTCTTGAATATGGCTCTCGTTCAACCTTTATTCATCTTATTTTTAAATTTATTTGCTATCTATAAATGTAAGCCTTATTGTTCGATTGATAAAAAATCTATAAACGAATCATTTCATAAAGCAAACGTTGCCATAATAGCAACAGTAAGACAATTATCCGTCGATCCGCTCAACAGTCGGTTGCAGGTGAAAATTTTCGTTTCCTTAGAAATGATTCTTCGAGAAATAATTCACTGAATCTTTGTTTCTGTCACCAAATCTCTAGCAAACAAATATGCTTTATTAGTTGATGAAGCAAGCGAAACTGTGTTAGAAAATGCATGAATGAAGTTTGCTGAGCAACATTGCTGAGCTGTTGAAAGTTATTTCCATATTCTCTTTCAGACCGCCATCGTTGAAATAAAAAGAATACTGAAAGGTAAAAGATTCATCAACGACAGCCAACAAATCGCAGTCTATGGTTTGAGAAATAAAAATGTTAATTTCAGTTATTCGAACTGCCATTTTTCATTTGTAATTTGTAATTTGAATTTTCACCGAAAATTGGCGTTGTTTGACAACGAATAATTTTAAGGAAGTTTGCTTCGATTTAAAATTACAGTTATTGTGAACTATCAACGAGGTTCATTTCTATTTGATTTTAGATTTGCAAAAATATTTTGTATGAAAGAGATACGAAAGTAATTTTTCTAAAACAACGCAAACAACATTTATATTTAAGTTCGTCGCTGGTAGCGATAAATCTTGAAGTGCTCGACATAATAGATGCGATTGTTCGAGGTAATTTTCGGTTATTCTGAGTTACTTTGTGCAATTAAACTTATAAACTTTAGTTGCACACCCACATCTGAATAAACCTTTCTTATAAGACACCAACTATGCCGTAGCAGTAAATTCCTATTTTCCGCTTTTCTGATTCAAACCATTCAAATTCTGCAGAAATATTCATAATGCTATTTTCATTTAGCCACTAAAATTTTTATCCAGAATGCTTCATATACTATACGACTTGAATATGAATAAGCGAAATTATATGAATGAGGTCGGAATAGGTCAGCATACACATAGTCAGTCGTTTCACTCACTGTGGAGATTTGTTTGAGTATGGGACGAAATTGCAGACATTCGTGCACATTTCTGAAAATAGCTCTCTACGGGGTGCCTATTCAATGCATAGAAATAGGCTTAGAAGAATTTGCAAGTCAGAAATATAAAAAATTTCTTTCCTTAAAATGGCTGTAAAGCTATTAGCATTAATGAGAATAATTGCTCTCTATCATTTTAAGCTACAAATAAGGAATGATTTCTAATTCTAAACCTACCTTAAAATAATTGAGTAAGGCACAAACTTGTTGAAACGTTCGAGCTAAAATTTCCGAAAAAACTGTTCTAATAAATTTCTATGGAATTATATTAAACCCATAGCATCGGGATGGTGCTACCAATCTATTTCTATTTCTATCGTTAAGAGACTTGCTGGCAAAAATTTCAAACCGTATTATCAGCGAACGCAGAGAACTTATCAAGAAATGAGTGCTAAGCCGTATAGTCGCCGAAAAATAAAAGTTTAAATTGAATATTGAATATTTACTGGCAAAATAATATGATAAACCTGGATTAACAAACACCTCAAGCTATAAAAAAATAAAAACCGTTATACAAAAACTAAGATGATCCCTTTTTCATGAATAGCACCTGAATGACCCCTACTGACCTAAAATTCATTGGGGAAGATATCGATATCACCATCAAGCTTGTTCCAGAGAAGAGATAGGAACCAAAGCTTTTATATTTGGCCTCAATCAAAGTAACACACAATCCTCGATCGATATTACATAATTATAAATCTATCTTCATTATGAAAAACTATAATTATAATTGATTATACTCAAATTAAATTCTAAAAAATTTAGAAATAAGAAATTTCCTTGTCATTTAAATTTTTTCATTTAAAATATTTTATGCAAATCGCATGAACCATAATGTACAAGAAATTCTATCTATTGATAAATTATAAATAAATTAAATATTTAATAAATTTGGATTTTCACATTCTCCTGAGAAAATCCGTTTTCTATTGTTGGCAGTGAGAAGTTGTAAATGGAGACTAAAAGAGGTGGCAGTCATAGAGCTTAATGCTCATAATAGAGCGTGGGGCTTTTATTGTATTAAATGATGAAAGATGCATCAAAACCAGATCCTTTTTTAATTCAATTCAAAATTTAATTCAAAATTTGAACCATTTATTAAAATTTATACGCGTAATTTATTAAAATTATTATGCGAAATTCAATATTCAATATTTAAAAACGATGCGGTAAATGGGACAGTTTGTGCTCAGATTTTCGTCTTAAAAGCCGAATTGTGCATGGAATAAAGAATAAAGCTGGTATTGAAAAATCGGATGGTGTTCATAACTTATATTTCGGTATGTATGGCACCCAACGGAATTAAGTTAGGAAATGGTAACCACTTAAATACAAGAACAGCTTATAAAATCTTTTAATTTATAGCGCTTAAAATATTTTATTTATTATTTATTTTATTATTTATTATTCTTTATTGCCGATGGCGATAACTTTAATCAAACAAATTTTTTTCTCCGTTTTTTCCTCAAGTAAGGTCGAATAATTATTTGAATAATTTCCAAAATTCCCATTGCTTATTTGAATCCTCGAATTTGTACTTTATTTTTGATTTTCAAACTTCACAATTGTATTTTATAATTCTCAACTTCCTATTATCTTTCTTAATCTTAGAGCCAGTGTAAAAAAAGGTATAACTCTAAAATACAATTGTGAAATTTGTGTATAACTCTAAAACGGATCCTCACCTTTACCATCTTCGGTGTTTTTCTTGAGGGTTGCAGCGAAGAGCAATGAAATTGCCAACAAAATTTAAGTGTTCAGGAAAATATCTAATATTAGAAAATTGTTTTTAAATTTTATTCAAAATTAAATTGGCTTAGTGGTTCATTGTTTTATGGCCACTTTTCGAGATTAGGATGAAGGATGAAGGACTCCATTTTTGTACAGAACTTTGTATTGCCCAAATTAATATAAAATTAGATGAATATAATTAAGTATAGATAAGTATATATTAATTAATTAATTATTAAATAATTATTAAATAATTTTTAATTATTTAATAATTAATTAATTAACAATCATGTCAATCAAAATAATCAAACAATAATCAAAATTGTTATCCAATATTTTCATGAGATGCTTGAAAAAGCGAATTTCTAGAGGTGTAATAATCTAAAAGGAATAAAAGGAAGTGGATTGGTACTTATCAAGTTTTTCTGAAAATATATTATTGTAAATAGCAGAGTCTTTTTGCTTGACCTTTATTATATTCAATGCAATAAGCTTTAATCTTACATCTTTTGCCCCAATTATTTCCATCCTTTCTTTGAATTTAATGATCCCGAATTTCTATTCTTTTTTCTACATTTTGCATCTGTTGACCATATTATTCCATTGTCTATTGACCATATTATTTTAACTAAAATTTATGGCTTTAAAAATAGCGGGTTTACGATTTGAATTGAATAGATTTTTGATTTTTAATTTTATAAATATGTATTCAATCATAAAAAACTTTTTTTACTTGATGATAAAAAATAAATAATATGGTCAATTTGGTTGGTGGAATCATTTTGGTTGGTGGGATTTAATCAGTCGAAAGTAAACAGTTAAAATGGTACATTTTATTTGCTAGTAAGGTTTTGAAATCATAGGTTGATTCTCTTTTCTATGAAATGCTTTTTCAAAAGCAAAATTTCAAAATAAATATTAAATAAATATTATAATATTATAAATATTCAAAATATTCGAAATATTAAATATTCAAAAATAAAAATATTAGAAAAGTTTATGTTTATATAACCTTTAATTAATGCATATCGTACTGATTAGTTGCTTTATACGGTTCTTTTCATAACAAATAAGTTTTATTTCCGTACAAAATTGAAAAAAATTGATTTGTCTTTCCATCACATTGCAAAAGAGGGTAAAATAACTGAATGAATAGTGATTGAGATTATGGTGTTGAGTTCGAACCGTGACCTCGGTAGACGTAAATCTGTCCTTAAAAAAACCAACAAAAAAATCAAGGTGTTGTCCACGTCTATCATCCTCTATCACCAAGTGAATCTCTAGCAAAAACTTATAACAGCGCTCAGAAATAGCGAAATCAGAAGTGACGAACGCTATTTATTTAGTTGCTGCATAAATCCGATTCAAACAAAGTTAATAGAATAAAATCTATGATTATCTTCGAATTTATTATTTATTATTGAATTTATTATTGAACCATAATAACCAAATATATTAATAATCATGTGCATCATGTCCGAAGATTCTTACTTACTGATAAATTTCGTTTCTAAGAGACATCTTTTCAGCGTTTATTTAAACTTTGATAATGTGGATTTTTCTTAAAGATTTCCGGAAAAATAACTCATCTAGTATGTTGATCAATATTAATTTGTGTGATTTATGTTAGAATAATGTAGTATAGCATCATTTTTTTTAGGTTTTAATATATAATAGTTGTCGTAATTTCAGGTCGATTACATAAAAAACGTAGAAAAATCAGACAATGTAAGTTTTAATAATTGTTTTGAATATGAAACATTTTTCTGGAATTTTTTTCTTAATACATAGATTAAGTCAAATCAAGCGGATTTTTTCACTTCGGTTGCAACACTTCGAATATAAATTGGCTTTCTACGGGAGCTATTGAAGCTTCTAAGGAATTGTAATTTTCCTCTTACAAATAAATGAGAGTAAATATTAACATAAATGTTTCATTGAGATGCTTCAACACGATAATTAAAATATTCTCGCATACCCTTTCTCTAAATAAAATACTATTATGAAATAAATTTGTTAAATTTTCAATCAAAAAAGCTCAATGCGATTTACTTCAATTGGATTTCTCTCTTTTTCTTATAAAGAATAAAAAATATTTCACTATTTCACGATTATTCAATTTATTTTCAAATTATTAATAGAAAATTAATAGAAAGCAATGGTGAAGATCGCAAATAGTCAAAAAACATGGGCAGACAAACCTACTTTAATAATAAATAAATAATAATAATGGAAATTTATAATAACAATAATAATGGTTATAATAATAATGAAACGATAAAATAAAATAACACTATGCCGAGAAGATAAATTTGCAGAAAATGAATTTCAGTACAGTGTGAAATGATCCGATGTCCTTATGGATCTAAATGCATTCCACAACGGTAAGGATCATTAAATATGGCGGATTGCGGTGATAATTAACAATTTATTTCAAATTTGTAAAATTTGTTATTGAAAACAAATACAAAAAAAATTCGCGAAATAGAATAAATGATCGAAGTCTATTACCATAATAAAAATGATTTTATTACGTCTGTGGATTATGGATATTTCGCAAAAAAAATTTGCTGAAAATGAAATATGGAAATTCTTATAGTGGTGAATGCGAGTGTAAATCAATGTGCACTAGTCCTGGTCCGACAGTTTGCGGCACAGACAATGTTAGCTATGCAAGTGAATGCCATTTAGCCATACGGTCTTGTATATTAGTTCAACAAGGATCAAAACAGATACGTGTAAAAAATATTGGAACATGCGGTAAGTTTGGAGGATATTAAATCTAAATCTAACTCAAAATTTTTTTGCACACAATTAATTAATTATATAATTAATTTTAATAAATTATAATAAATTATATGATTATAATATATAATTATAATAAATTTAATAATTAAAATAATTATATAATTATAATAATTACAATAAAAATTAATGATTAATTAATTAAGGTCATAATTAATTGCAAACGGTAGTAAACCAATCATGAAAGCAAAAATATTGTAGAAATATATAAGTGTATTATATCTAGCTATACTTCATTTAGTTAATGAATGCTGTTAATAGAAAAAAAATAATTATAAGTTAATATATTAATTAATAATTAATAGTTAATATATTAATTAATAATTGATTGAGAATGATTGATTTATTGGAAAGCACATAAGAATGGAAGCAGATAGAAGTCCAACGGTTTGATATAGATAGTTAAGGCACCGTTAATTGATAATGGTATCTATATCTGAATTGTTTTCAACTTAAGAAGACCCCGATATTCCATTCATCAATTTATCATCGATTGTTATGCAATAAGCAATTTATTTGCATCAATTTTATGAATCCCTCGAGGACAATAATCTGCTCAAGACGAAGCCACTTATATCAATATTCGCCACACTTTAGTCATCGTCACTAATCAATTTCGCCATCCTCAAAATTTTTTAAAAATGTTTTTAATGCTATTATTTATTATTTTTTCAATAATTTCAACTTCATATAGCTGTTATAAATGGACAAATGGTAAAATAATTTCGAACTTTTCCCATTTCTTTCTATTAAAACAGCTTTTTAGTGATTTATAGTATCCGAAGTTTATTAGGTTTCGGTACATTGATTGATTTATTTATTTTTTCGAATAATTTCTACAGTTTCTTTTTCTCCTAACAGAGAGCATTATAAATAGTTTGTACGGCTCCAATGATTACAACAGCGAGCTATTTCCAAGCATTCGATGCCGCCTTTGAAATAATTGAAAGTAACTACTTTTTTTACATTTCACTCTATATATATATGGCTGTTAATGCGTTTAATGTGTCGAGGCACAGTTCTTGGCTCTCCTCGTCTGCCACGAATGGAAATTTACGTCAATTAGGAATGGGTTAAGAAGAATGTAGTCTAACCAGCGCATGGACGATGATTTTTTGGCTACATGAGTGCATGGTACATGAAGATAGATTCTTTATATATATAACAAGAAAACATCTCAGATAGATAGTTCTTGCCCTCATCCACTCTTATTGGCCATATTTGTAGCGAAGTGGTTTTATTTTGACGATTTTTGTAAATTAATTTAAGGCGACATTTTTAGCCTTAGTTATGAGGACTGGAATTTTATCTTCCGATCAGCAATTAAGCATGAGAGCGGAGCCAAGATTTTGGAAAGTTGGTCTTTTAATTATAAGTATTTTTATTTTTATAAGTATATATTAAGTATAAGTATTTTATTAACATCACATTTTTTATTTACATTTTAAGCACGTTTTTTTCTTCAATTCCTTATAATCCTTATAATTGCATCAGTATATTTGGGATCCCTAATACTATGTTTTGATTTGATTTGGACTGATCTGCTCAATACTTAAATGCTGGCAAGTGATGCTATGGTCCAAGCTATCGCTTATTTGAATTTTGTACGGAAGAAAATGCAATCCTCACTTATGCTAGTTTTTCGAAAGGATATGTCACTTCATATAGATGTGCTTAAATCAATCGGAAGATCTTCTCTGGATCACTGTCGTTCCACTGTATGACTCACCGAGCGCCACTCTATTCAATGAATTGGAGGCAAGGATGAAATCAATGAAAAGTGGCAGATTGCTGATATTTCAACCAAACCAATCTTCCAAGGCTTTTCTCAGTTTGAACACACGCCCTTTGCTCTAAAAATGATTCTAAATTCAGTGCTTAAGTATGCGCAGCTGTCAAACGCCTCTGTTCAGAAATAAAGTAAAAATCTTTCGAGAGATTTTATAACCATAGAATCGTTTTTGGGAAATGTGGTTAAGATTTGTTTACTCTACTTGTGTGGTATGAAATACTATCAAAATGTCAAAAAAGATGTGAATTAGTATTAAAAAAGTTTAGCTCATATACGCAATTTTCTTGTGATTATACTGGATTCAAATTCTGATGATTAAACGTTTCAGCGAAAATTTTTGCTTCTCTTTTACTCAACAGACTTATGGAAATATAAGATAGCATGGTGCACCCTAATCAAGCTGGATTCAGACCGGAGCGCGGTTGTACAGACCTGATATTCACGTTAAAAAGGGTATTAGAACATGACTTCATTGCGGCTACCATTGATTCAATTAATAGAACGGCACTTTGGAGCGTGATGGAACGCGATGGTGTTCCAAAGAAGAACATTCGACTCATAAAGGCATTTTATGATCTTACGTCGGCATAGGTCTATATATATGGGGAGCTGACATACACAGACTCCTTCGAAATAAGAACTGGTGTCCGTCAAGGTTGTGTTTTTTTCTCCTACAATATTCAACTCTAATATTCCACTCTCATATTCAAATAGGCGATAGGCTGGATAATGACACCGCTTCTCGGTACTCAAAAGGTGTCCAAATTAGTCCAGAGCATCGTATCATCGATCTTGAATACGTTGATGATGTAGTCTTTTTTGCTGACAGTTATAATGCAAGTAATGCTAAATAAGGTGTCAGAAATTGCAGCAAGAATCGGACTCAGGGTGAATGTAAATAAAAGAAAGCTTTTTCGTCTTATGTGCAAGAAACTGATAAAATGCCTCTTTTTGTAAATTCATTGCCCGTTGAGAAAGTGGCGTATTTTAAACCTTGGGTCCACTCTAATACCAAACGGCCAGGCAAAAGATGATATTGTAGTCCGGATTACGGCAGCTTCTTCCGGTTGACGAAACCCTTATATATCAGTCGTGAAATTACCATAAGAACGAAAGTTCGCATCTATATAGCCGTGACTCGTTCGATCTTGCTATATGGCTTCGAGACATGGCCAATGAGAGTGGAAAATATTAAGAAGGAAAATATTACTATCCGACTTTGACCACTCTTTCTAAAATACATTTGAAGGGTGCGTGGAGTAGATAAAATATCATATGGTCGCATCCACCTTCGTTTAAATACCACTTGCATTAATAATATTATCATAGAGCATCACTTCGCTGGTTAGGACACGTTCTCCGCCACAACTTCGTCCACCACAGGAGTTGACGCATATTTCGTTACTTATTAAACCCTGTGATGGGTGGCGTCAAAAACAAGGTGGACCAATCAAGACCTGGATTGGTACGGTCAGAAAAGATTTTGAACATATATGTGGATGAGCAATATATGGACTTAGACGATGAAAAAGGAATGGTTTCTATTACTGTCGACATCAGTCCACTCAGCTTGGAAGTGTCCTACCCTTGTAGCCGCTGGAGCCAGCCTAATAAATAATGGTGAGAGCTGTTAGAAAAAGAAGAAATTTTGAAGATTCCATGCTCTCTTGATGGTTGGCAATCATATGCATCAGAATGAGAAATGGTGGATGGTGCTATGGTTAAAATTAGTTTCAAAAAGTCGCCTCACCATGGGTCGTTCAGAATTCTGATATGTTCATTCTTGTTTCGAATGTATCTACTAGCATCTCTTGGGCAATTATTGTTTTACAAAGAAATAGTTCTCAACAATCGCCTACTCAAACATTTTATTCTGTATATTCACTTAACTTATTGCTGCACGTTCTTAATGGTTCTTACCTTTTAAATATGGAGGCACAGATGAATCTAAATCTTAATTTTAATCAACAATTTTATTGTAAATTTACAAGGCTGATGACCGAAAGACTGAAAATAATTGCTTATTTAGAAAGAAAAAATCCATGTGGTGATTTACGCTGTGGTCCCGGTGAGCAATGCATTATTTCTGAAGATGGTCAAGGATATCTTTCTGGTCATTGTATATGCCCAAAAGTTTGCGATAATTTTGGCGATAGTGTTGAGTCAACACCACTGTGTTCCACTGATGGCACTGATTTTCCTACACTTTGTCATTTACGTGTACACGCTTGCAAGACGAAGAGGAATATTACTGTTAAATATTACGGAAAATGTGGTGCATTGTTTTTGTTTGAGATATCAATTTGAATAATAATAACTTAACCTTTTTTCAGAATTAATCTTTCAAGCATTAAAAGCAAATAAGCAATAATTAGTAGTAATTCTTTAGCTTCAAATGAATTTCTCTATAAAATTACTTAATTTGATATCGGTAGTGCCTGAATTTTAATCCAATAATTTTTGATCGATAATCGACAGAAATTTTATCCCAAACTATTTGATAAATTTAATAAATGCTTTTGCAGTATTTCTAATTAAAGATTGTTCTGAAATATTATTAATTAAGATCCGTGCGAGAATTTTACTTGTCCAGCTGGCACTATGTGCAAAATTAATGCGGATCGCCGTCCGGAATGCCGCTGTTCCCAGCAATGTGATCTATATTCTGACCCGGTTTGCGGAACAGATGGAAATACGTATGCTTTTTTTCATTGTCTTTTTAGCAGTATTTACCATTTTTGTTGTGGGTCATTCTACTACTTATGGTACTCATAGAGCATAAAAATAGAAATGAGTTCCCAACACTAGGACGATTTCGTCGGACTTTTCATCAAGCGCAAGAGTTCAGTGCATGATATTTGAACTTTGTAGACATCCCTATGGATTATCCAAACTTTTCATTTCATGATTAGCTTTCCATATTTTTATCACTGCATTTAGCTTGGTAAGTTTCAGCATATACTTCCTGTTTAGTCAATTAATGCCAAAATTTTTACATTTTAAAACTCTCAGTTTCAATTGATATAAAATTTTTTGCTCTTTTCTATTTCTATTCATTATTCTGATTTTTGATATTTCAGTTATGAAAATGAGTGCCTTTTGACTGTTTCCTCTTGTAGATCTGATAAATCGATACAGGTTTATATGAAAGGACGTTGTTCGGGTAAAATTTTTTATATTTTATATTTATATTCCTATTTTGAAAAAGAGGTGTAAAGTGGCAGAAGATTGGCATCCTAAATTGATCTTCACCTTTCACCTTTATCACCTTTGTAAGACAAAATAGATTATACACCACATGAAAATTCATATGATATTGGATAAGTGATTTAAGCAAGAAATTGAGAAAATTAAGAGTGAAAATAAAGAGCACAGTCAACATACTGACTGAATAATTTTATTATTTTATAATCTTGAGAATAATTTTATAGGTATTTTAGAAAATAATCCATGTTCGGCGGTTTTTTGTGATGTTGGGCAATCATGCCATATCTCCTCAGATGGTGTGGCATCCTGTAAATGTGTTGAATATTGCGCACCAATAATGAAACCAATCTGTGCTATGGTATAAAACATTTCTGAAAAACTTTTCATATAATTGCATATAATTTATGTGGACTGAGCCAATTAGAAAGAACTTGAGAAATCGCTACTGCCTCATTTATTTCATTACTTTTTTTCGAAATTGCCTTCCCTTCAGGATGGTAAAACTTATGACAATGAATGTGAAATGCGCCAAAGTGCATGTATATCGAAAATTTACATTGCTGCACGTCATACAGGCACATGCGGTAAATTTACGTTTTGTCCATGCGGTAAATTTACGTTTTATAATCATTTTCAACCTCTCATATGGTCTATGAAATTTTTTCGTTCAAACTTCATGTTTTTAAGTGTCCCTATTAAAGCCGAAATGGTTTACTATGGCATTAGTGTTGAGGGAATAAAAAGGATTGTTTCTTGAATCTTTGAATTTTTTATACTATTTTTTCTCCTTGAATTTTTCTTCATTTCTTCTTATACTCCAATGCTCCAATCGAGGACGAAGATGCCAAGACTGAAGGCGATGCGAGAATATAACTGCATGTGATGCTGTAAGCTCCAAAATGTTGCTAATGGACTGAGACAAAACATTGGTTTAAAGAGATATTAGAGGGAAATAAAGCAAATTCAAGAGTGTTAAAAGAATTTCGATGAACTTTTTCAAAAGTTTGAACTCTATGAACTTTTCAAAAAACGTAATAATTTTTGGGAACAGGGTCTCCCATCCAAATAACGAGATATTGCAATTTGGGTTCGCGGCTTTCTTACTGGGCTGTTATGCCACTATATGCAACAAATTATAGAGTTATGCGCGATTAATTTTGTTATAACAATTCTGAAAGGTAATTTGGGGAGAGGGGATGGGGGAATGAACAACTTCAGCTCCAAATTTTATAGGGTCAGGAATATGCGCCGGATTTGAAGGTTGTATTCCGCCGAAAGTGTGCGTAGTTCGCGATGGTCATCCATATTGCGAATGTGAATCATGTGATTCGAGATTGAGCGAAGTTTGTGGGTCTGATGGAATTACCTATGCCAATGCTTGTAAAATGAGACAAGAATCTTGTATTACCGGCAAAACTATTTATCAAAAATATAGCGGAATATGTGGTTAATTTCCATCGTTATTCTAATACTTATAGGGAATATTTTGCAAAAATAAAAGTAATAAATAGTAGTAGTATAATTAGCAAAATCTTATGGATAGTAAAATGAATTAACTGGTTATTAAATTCTAATAAACATTTGGAATGGTCGATAAATATTACTCCTAAGAATTACCTAGAAGCGCCTCATATTTGTAGACAGGAACTAAGCTAACGAGTAGTGATTAGAGTTGCTGGAAGAAGAAAGATATATAAAATAATATAAAGTATATAAAATACATAAGATATATAAAATATAAATAAAATCAATAAACTGAACAAAGTTTTTTTGGATTTTTTAGAGAATTTTTTCGTGCTAATCTACTAATGTATTGCAGAAGGATGCTATAATGTACGCTGCGAATTTTACGCCGTTTGTATCTCAGATAATCGAGCTACGGGAAGTTGCCGTTGTCCTGATCATTGTCCAGAAGAAGGCATACTGGGAACCGTTTGTGCTACAGATGGAATTACCTATCAGTCCGAATGTCATATGCGATTAACTGCATGTCATCAGCAAAGATTTATTGTTGTCGCCTTTCATGGAACGTGCGATAGTTGTCAAAATGTGGTGTGTCCATATGGCCAACAATGCGATGACGGCCTGTGTTCTTGTCCTTCTGAATGCGCATTACCACGTAAAAATGAAGAGGTAATCACGACCACTTTATTGATATAAATATTTATTGGCATAATTGTAGATAAATATTTGATATGAATATTAATACGATTATTGTGCCTGAAAATTCGTAAAACTGTAAGAATTGCTGACATGGCTGGTGGAATTTATGAATACTTCTAACTTAGCAAATCGTTATTTTTTTTCTTAACTAATCGTTAATTTTTGTCAGGTGGGGGAAATTTAGTAAAAATAGTGGATAGGTTAGATATGAACATATTTGGACCAGTAATCTCGCTGGTTACTGTATGCAATTTTAGGTTTGTGGTAAGGATGGTGTGCTTTATCCATCAAAATGCCATCTTCAAAAGGCATCTTGCCATTATGGTGCTCCAATAGCCATACAACCATTAAGCGAATGTGTACGAGAATCTGGCATTGGTATTATTTGTTTTTTTTTATATTTTTCATCCCTTTTTCCATGTATAAAATCACTATTCATGCAAAAGGAGAATATTTTCAAAAGGCATTACTTATCTAATATATATATATGTCTGGACGTATTATATATCCAGACATAATGATTAAATAATTTTTGCTTATTACATATGTGCTTTTCTGAATTAATTTTCTTACTTGTTAAATTCAGGCTAACTTCAAGCTAAATTTTGAATATCGTTGATGTTAACTTCCTAAAACTGGAAGCTAATCAGAGAGTACGGCATCAAATATAACTAATGCACCTTTGGTGTTGGCTTTATATTTTTTGTACGTTTCAATATTATTTCGCCACAAAACGAGAAACAGAATGCATATTTAAAAATTCGGGCTCTGATTTATGATAGAACTGCAGGAATAATTGTGGGCATAATCAACTGTTTACTTCTTATAATCTTATCTGAAAATTGTTTTTCTCATTTCTTTTGAATTAACCGTTATTTTAAATTTTAATGTCAACATTGAAGTTACATTACTAAAAAAGACAAGAACACTTACGAATATAACTGCATTTCTGCTCTGTTGAACATGTTTCAGTGTGTTCGTCTTTACTGCTATTGTAAAACATATACTTCATTTAAGTGGTGCTCAGAATGGGTTTGAAGGTTTGAACCTCTGAGAGTCCTTAAGATTCTTTTTTGAGGTCTCCAGCGCGGAAATCATTTTTATACTATTACAATATTTAAAAATTCTGAGTATTAATTTCTAATACGGCAAGTGCAGAAAGGTATATACCACATAAATAAAAGGAGTTTTAAGGAGTTTTCATGGGAAAAAATTCGAGAACCAGTACTGTAGGATAGTGATTAAGATAATTTAAGATGATTTTCACCGAAAATTTTTAATAGTTTGCAGAAAACGAAACTTCTGCATACGTTTCACGTTTCGCAACAGTAAAATAAGTTATGGTGGATTCTGTACTGATAACAGTGGTATAATTGAATGCCTATGTGAATTCAACTGCTCAAATGCTCTGGCTTTGCACTTCTAATGGCAAAATTTATGAGACAACATGTTTATGAATCTTTCATGTCAAAAACAAAAATCCATCTATAAAAAGCTATCACTGCATTTTTGCCATTATTCTGGTATAAAAAATTTTAGCGAATAAATTCGATGGATTCTGTAGAAAATAGATAGAGTATTGGAAGGATTATTGTTAGGTTCTAAATCAATAAAATAATTGAGAACAAGCAATTTAAACTGATGAATTTTTCGCCTTAAAATATTTCTGAAGCTGCAATTTTTTTGGCTTAAATTTTTTGTTTTAACAATTTTTTTTAATTTTATAATTTCGTATTTTTTTGCCATTTAGAATATTTTTCAAATCATCTTTAAATTATTCGTTAATATTCTTGAATGGCTTATTCACACTACTTTTTATTCATTCCATAAGAATATTTTTATAGAAACTGCGACTTTTGTCCTGATTATTGCCTAAAGTGGTAAATTTTGTTCTATAAATATTTTTTAATCTTTTTTTGCACTTTTATTTTTAAGATAATTGTGAATGTAATGAAGTGGGGGCATATGATACGAGATGTTCAACTTCCGGTCAGTGTCGATGTCGCCCTGGAGTTGGTGGAAAAAAGTGCGATCATTGCCATTCAGGCTTTTGGGGGATTCATTTGATTGCCAAAGGCGCTCTCGGCTGCCAACGTATATATTCTAAAATAAATAATCAATAATATTTTTTAGCTAAATTATTAAAAATTTTACTTTTAGCTTGTTCTTGTTCATTATTCGGTTCATCTCGAAACGATTGCGAACAATTGACAGGTCGTTGTCAGTGCAAAGAGAATTCTTTTGGGTCAAAATGCGATTCGTGCGATCCCGACTCTTTTATGACTCCAAATGGTTGCCGTAAGAAAGCAGAATATATGGCTCCCAAGTAGATTTTTCAAGAAAAATTTTAAAAAATTTCTATTTTCAATATTGGGTGATTTAATCTTTAGGTCATGCACTGAAATGAGGTGTTATCATGGTGCAGAATGTATTATGGATCGTTCTGGTCTGCCTGACTGCATATGCCCATCTGGATGCTTTTTTAATGATTACAGTGATCTGGCGAATATAACTATATGTGGAAGTGATGGAAATACATATGATAATTTTTGTGAATTAACTAAATTTGCTTGTAAACATCAACTTGATCTTGTTCCTGCATCTCTTGGAATATGTCATTCACAAGGTAATTGTGGAATTTTGTCCGTATTTTATTCCATGGTATTTAAGCAAGTCGTATGTTGCCTCGGCCGAAATCAAACCATGATAAGTTCGATTCCTGTCCCTTGGCATAAGTTGTTATTAGGAGTGAAATCCAGAGGGCATTATTAATGTGCCTGAACTTTTATCATCAAACCCTACCCACAAAGTTTCCCAGTAGATGCCTAACTAGGCCTAATGGTGATTGTCAGAAGAAGCCAGAAATTTTTTATCTGAAATTTAAACCCTTTTCATATAAATAGATAAATTCAAAGTTTCCCAGTAGATGCCTAACTAGGCCTAATGGTGATTGTCAGAAGAAGCCGGAAATTTTTTATCATAAAAATTTTAACTTTAATTATAATAAAAAATAGACAATGAGATGAATGATATTCAAATTCGACGAGGGAGGAAATTGGAAACCGCGTCAATGCTGGGAACATTTTGTGCAACCAACCAAGACTGTAAAACATATAACGCATATTGTGCAGCGACCATACATGCAAGTATAAAAATATGCAAATGTAGAGAAAGGTTTTTTGCGTCAAATGATGGCAAACAGTGCATTCAAAGTAAAATTTTATAGTTTATTTTGTTTAAATTTCATGTTTAAGAAAAAATTCTCACTCTGAAATTGTTTTCTTATCCGCGATTTTTAAACATAATTTGCAAATTTTATTAAATTTTTATCAACAAACTGAAGTACATCAAGCATGATTTATTCGGTTGGAAATTAAATTTTTCATTATTTTTTTATTTTTTTTTGAGGATTCTAGATGATCATGCGTCAAAATCCTTCAGCACCACCTTCAGTTTTTATAATAATTCCTCAGCAATATTTTCTGGTTTTGGATTTACCAATGGCACTCTCCGAATTCGATTACGGGTATTTCTTGTCTTTTTCGAGTCATTTCGTGGAATTCTAACGCTAAAGAATTGAATCATTAAAAAATTTTTAGTTATGAATTTATCTATTTATATGAAAAGGGTTTAAATTTCAGATAAAAACATCCAGAGAATCCGGTATACTTTTGTTCTCATTGACAAGCGATAATCTCAATCATTTAATGATTAATTTATATAAGTCCCGAATAATTTTAAGGTTATTATATTATTATTGTTTAAAATATTGTCATAAGAGAATGAGAGGATAGTGAAATGGTACATTTACATGGACTGGGATTAAGCTTTATTCGGTTCTGGTTCCTTGACGAAAGTAAATTTCATTTAAGGTAAAATATTAGTTATTAGTTTATTAATATTAGTATTAATTATAATCCTAGTATAGTAGTATTACAGATCAGATATCCACCTGTGCTACTAATTAAAAAATAATTCTCTGGTGAACGATTTTATTTTATTAATCAGTGGAGCTAGTCAAACCAGTCGTATTTTTGCTGTACCTGTCTTTTTAACCATTTGGACAATTAAGAATTATTAAGTCGAACCAAATTTATTGGAATTCAATTTAGCATAAGTGATGATGGAAATCCAATTATTATGGAAAGCGAAGAAATAATTGCCATACATCATCCATATATAATCGAGGCTGCTATATCTGAGTCGCTGATAACGATGAATATTGGTGATAATGTGCAATTTTTTAAGACAAGTTCAATGAAATCACTGAAAGCGTATTCCTGTACATATGGTCAAACTTATGTTGGCCATCTTCCAGCTGATTTGTAAGTTTTGATCATTATGATTGGATTTATTTGAATCACATAAATGTTAACAAAAACCATTTACAGTTTTTTATGTTCTTATTTGAATCTTCCGTAAGTTAGAATCTTGAACAATTTTCATTGCGAAGATCTGTCGTAGATTTTCTTTTTTCACTGCAGAATCAACTAGTTAATTGAAAATTAAGAAATAAAATAAAAATGCCCGTGCTAGTCCGTTTGGAAGAACGATAATATTTCGGAAAATAATGATAAAAAGTTTGAATATTGAATCGCACCTATTATTGGGAAAAACTTAGTCGAAAATTAACTATACCGTGTCTTTTATTTTTGTGAAGGCGAATAAGTGTGGAAAAAATACATCGGAGAGAAAATCCAGAATCATTTTTACTTTTTCATTTTCATCTTGAATTTTGAAAAAAATTTTAATTTGCTTCCCTTTGTTTCACGGATTCTTCCGTTTAGAGCTGAAAAATATGTGGGATATATATCAAATTTTTCCGGCTGCATTTCCATTATGATAAATGGGGAAATGTTTACATCTGATCATCTCATCATCGCCCATAAACTTGGTATTTTTCACATATGTAATTTGTATACTGAACTTTTTATTAAGGAATAAAGAATTGTGGATTAGGCAAATGATTACAACCAAATTCATTTCGTGTTTTAAAATAGTTGGTTTAATTAAAATTTAATTGATTAAAATTAAAATTGAAATTTATTGCTTTATTATATTGTCAATACTTAATATTATCGATCAATCGCCATCTCTTGAACCTTTCAAAAAGTTTCTTATACCTAAATATGAAAGTAAATTCTTAGGTGAGTGCGATTTCGATATGTGTAATGACGATTACTGTTTAAACGGTGGAGAATGTGTGAAAATGGCCGGTGGGAAATTTGCTTGTATTTGTCAATCTGAGTCTGGTAAATTTTCTTGAGAAAAGTTTGAAATTAAAAAATTTTTATATCTAAAATAGCACGTTTCGCATTTTATTCATTATGCATGAATTATTAAATTTTCATCGAGAACGTCTATTTTCTTGCTTTAGCTCCATACTATTTTTCTCATCATATTATGACACTATAACAATCGAAACTACAGTTGATTCATGTGATGTTGATTTATATGCATTAACCACTGTTTATAATATATTTTTAGGTGTTAACTGTGGGCTGAAACAAATCGGTACTTGCGAAAATTGCGAAATAAACAAAATTAAAGAAACGAATAAGCAAGGTATTTATCAAAAATACCTAATGCTTTTAACTGAAATTATTTCACTAAAAATCTTAGCATTTATATCTGAGTTCATCAACTGCAACTAAATTATCTGATCTTTTGAATCGAAGGAATCAATATTATTAAAGACATTGACGAAATTTAGATTTTGAAGCAGCAGAGTCATCAGGCGTTGAATTCTCTGGAGAAAATTGTGTGAAAGTGAAAGACTTAAAATTCGATTTGAAAAAAACTCTCGAAGTGGAAATATGGTTGAAAACAATGGTATCAGATGGTCTTGTGTTTTACTGGGCGAATAAGCAAGGGAATTTCGTCGCACTCGCAATAGCCAATTTGCAGCCATTATTTGTATTCAATCTTGGCGCAGAGACTGTTTATGTTAGGTACGATTTATTTCAACAATGTTTCATGAATCTTTCTGACGATTTTCATCATATAAAGTAGACAAGAGAAAATGAATTCGACAAGTAATAACAGAATTCGACATGTAATATTTTTACTGAATTCGAAAAGCGAGGCAACTAGATAGTGCTCATATGAGATTTTTAACTTTTAAAACTGCAACTTTCTCAATTGTTCGAAAAGCTTTGAGGCAAGAATTGAGCAAGTGAAGAATTGAACGAAACGAATCGTTTTAATTCGATAAATTTTCCTATTTTTCCGAATTCTTGTAAAAATATACCGAAATAATTAGATCGAAGGTTTCGTTATCCAATGAACGTTTCCATTCGATCCGTTTTGGTCGAAATCTTCGAAATGCATTTATTCAAGTGAATTCTAATATAAAATACCGACTTTCTGTGGTTAGTACTCTTTAAATTTAATACGAATTTTACCTTTAAAACGACCAAAATGGAACAGCTCGAATTTGATGTCCCAGCCTGCTGGTACTGGCTGATTCAAAACTATCTCGTGGTTTCTAAATTCATATATAGGGTGATATGCTATATGATAAGATCCATTCTTATCTCTTGTACTATACTTTATGGCTGGCTTAACTCCTAGTGAAAATTCAGTAGATAAACGATAGATAATTCATTTTTGCATCTAATTCAAAATGAATGATTGTGGCAATTTTCGGACTCTGAAATGATGCTATTGAAAGCAAAAGAACGAGGAAATTCATATATTCATTAATACATCATTTATATAAAGAAAAATAATATAAGATGAATGAAAGACTGAGATTAGAAATTAGAAATAAGCCAGCACATCGCTTCAACTGCTAGGATTTCTTTTGATGGCTCAAAATTATGATTCATACCGTACAAAATTTGTCCGTATTACATCTAAGAATTTTTCTATACATAAAAATATCACAATCCATTATTGCCGAATAATGAATAAGTAATGTTCGACTCATTACAAATCTTTAATCTAAGCCAGAATTTCTTAACAATGGTCATTTTGCTTTGATTATAGATAAAATATAATCGTGGCATGTATGAAGCCGATTTACATATTGGTTGCTTCTCCGATATCAAAATGTTACCTGAAACGCTAAAAAAACTTGCGACATTGTTCAAGGGTGTAGTCCAACGAATTAGCATCAACGGTCAATCAGTTATTTTCTGGAAGGTCAACTATTTTTAATAAAATATTTAAAAAAAAAGAAATATTACCAGATGATTGGAGCAAAGCAATTTTGTTACCAATTCTCAAGAAAGGTGACAGGACATATTGCGATAATTATCGAGGAATCTGCCTACTAGACGTCTCAGATCAATTTTTGAAAATTTTTCCCTTTTAATCAACAGATTTATGAAAATATGAGATAGCGGGATGCGTTCTAATCAAGCTGGATTCAGATAGGTTGTACTGACCAGATATTCGCGTTAAGAAGGATGTTGCACATCAGATATTTGCGACCCACTGTCACGTGTTTCATCGACTTTGTGGCTGCCTTTGATCGAGCGGCGTTTTGAAGTGTGATGGAACGCGACGGTTTTCCAAAGAAGATCATTCGACTCATAAAGGCATCGTATGAGCATATACATCGGCGAAGTTTTGTGTATATGGGGAATTGACAGACTCCTTCGAAAGAAGAACTAATGTCTGTCAAGGCTGTGTCTTTTACCCTACAATATTGCGATAGATTAGGTGAATGGACACCGCTTGTCGGCATTCAAGAAGTGTCCAAATCGGTCCACAGCATCGTATCACAGAACTTGAATATGCATATGTGTAGTCCTTTTTGCTGACATTTATGACGAAATGCGAGTAATGCTAAATAACGTGTCAGAAACTGCAGCAAGAATCTTATGTGCAAGAAGCTGATAAAATGCCTCTTTTTATAAATTCATTGCCAGTTGAGGAAGTGTCTGATTTTAAAT